CCTGTTCCACCTTCCCTCCTGAGCAATCAGGATGATTAATAACTGCAGACCACTTTTATTAAGTTGGGTAATAGAGACCCAAGCTTTTACAACTCCAGCTTTTTAACTTGCTACTTGCCCTGGCAGCTAGGGAGCCCTGGTTCAGTGAGCTCCTGCTCTCCGTAACTCCCGGGGTTGTTGTGGTAATGGATCTCTCCAAAGCTCTCTAATGCAGTGGATAAAGCTGTAAACTCCTGCTTTCCCTGGGAATTGCTGACAATTGCAGGAAAAGCCCTTTTGTGCTGAGATCTGGAGATTGTCCTTGGGGTCAGAGGGGACACGTCTCTGGGTATTATTCTTCAGATGAGCGCAATGTTCCTTCTGTGACTGGGACAAATGAAGCTGAAATAAAAAGTTGGAGTGTCTGTAGTGGTTTTGGAGTGCAGGATTTTACAGGATGAGCACAAAGAGAAGAGAAGAAAAGCAACTTCAGCAGTGTGTAAGAAAGTAAATTTCCTTTCTGGTGTGCAAACCAATCTGCTAGTAGTGGTGCTGGGGTGACAGTGGGACTTGAATATTAAAGGCTTTTCCCAGCCTTAATGATTCCTGATTCTCTCCTTTTATAGGATTAGGGTAAGTGGGTATAAAGGCATTGGCTCTGAATTGTTTTCTAAATATTATTAATAATATCATTATGAAATATTATATATGTTATTCTATGCAGAGGGAATTGTCTCCATGCTGCTCCTTCCTGCTGGACATGTGTGATAGAAAAATAACCTTTGTGAAAGGCTGTTTTATAAAAAAGGGATGTTTTTAGGCTTGGAATAAACCCTAGGCACCACAGGATGAGCAGACCCTTCCCTGAGCTCTATTTATGTTGTAAAAAGGAATCTGGGAGCTGGGGCTCCAGTGTATCCCCCCAAATTTATCACTGACTGCACCAGAGGGGCTGGAATTGGTTCTTGTCGCTTTGGGACAGTCCAGTTGAAAATCCAGTGGTTTCATTGTCAATTATTAATCTCTCAAAGACTCCACACGGCCAGAATTTGGCTGGAGTAGAATAGTGGAGGAGTTAATTAAAGCACTTGAAAAGTCTGTATTGATGCTGATGGCAGGGGCTGGATGCTCTAAGCTCTGCATGGCTGCCAAATTTATATTTTCAAATACCTAGAATACAAATTTATCATTATTACCGCACCAGGTTATTTTTTGGAACTAGAATTTTGGCCAAAAATTATGCAGGATACTGAATCTTCAACACTGCTCATTCCAAGTCTTTGGTAATTTGAGTCCTGAAAGAAAGAATGTTTGAGGGCTTTTTTTTTTCCATTTCTTAAAATACTTTATGTGCTCCAAAAACACAATAGGTTGTTAAATTCCTAAAGAACTTCCTGCTGTGATGCTAGGGTGAACCCCTAAATTTAATCCTGTCTTCTCCAGGGTCTTCTGTGCCTGGAAGGGGATACAGCACCCTCAGGTGTGAATATAAACACATGACATGGCACTGAGAGCAGGCTTGGAATGTAGTGCCTTATCCCCTTAATCTGCTGCTTTCAGGAATGTTCTAAAAGTACCAGTTCAGGAATGTTCTGAAAGCCCCTTTCCAGTCCCTACAGGGGATGTGCAAGAAAGGTGGAGATGGAAGTTTCACAAAAGTGGGAAGTGACAGGACACAGGGGTATGACTTCCCAGTGCCAGAGGGCAGGGATAGATGGGATATTGGGAAGGAATTGTTCCCTGGCAGGGTGGGCAGGCCCTGGCACAGGGTGCCCAGAGCAGCTGTGGCTGCCCCTGGATCCCTGGAAGTGTCCAAGGCCAGGTTGGACTTTGGGGCTTGGAGCAACCTGGGATAGTGGAAGGTGTCCCTGCCCATGGCAGGGGTGGCAGTGGATGGGCTTTAAGATTCCTTCCAACCCAAGCCATTCTGGGACTTCATGGAGCAGAATTCCCTAGCCAAGGGGCAGCTCAGCAGACCAACACCCCTGTATAGTTTTGTTTTTCCATTTATTTTGCATCTAAAGATGCAAAAAAATAAAAATCACCTCAGGATTTGCAGGGAACTTTGGGCCTCAGGATCCCTCAATGACAGTGCAACGCCTCTTGTCCAGTGTCACTGCTGAGAATCAGGAGAGCTGTGCTAAGGGGGATACGTTGGGAGGCATTTCCCTCACTGCTGAGCAGCTCCAGTGGACTTGGAGCAGTTGTAAAGGCCCATCACCTGTTCTGCTGCTGCTTCCACCTCTTCCACACCACTTGGGAGGATGGGAATGACCCTTGTGACAGACTAATTTTAATTTGAATTCTGCTGATCAATACAGCACAGCTGCAGACACTGTTGTTATTTAAAAGTAGGAATCTAAAAACAAAATTGTTTTTTGTGAGTACCAATCCAAGCAAATGGCCATTTCCAGAGGAGCTCTAACACACCACAGTGTTTTCAGCAACACACATTCAGCTGAAGAATTTTTCAAACAACTCTACAGGTAACTGCCCAATTTTAAGTTAATTCCTGAGCTGCAGCTTTTCAGACTTCAGTTTGATTTTATTCTCTGTTTTAACCTAAACTTTCAATTTGTGTGTTTCAAATTGAACACTACTGCCATTCCTCTGGACATTGTGGGATGTCCTGCAATGTCAGTGTAGCCAATGGCTGCAATGTACCCATTTCTCAGGAAGTGATATCACAGAATTCCAGACTTATTTGGTTTGGAAGGGACCTTAACACCCATCTCATTCCACCCCCTGCTCTGGGCAGGGACAGCTTCCACTGTCCCAGGCTGCTCCAAGCCCCAAAGTCCAACCTGGCCTTGGACACTGGCAGCCACAGCTGCTCTGGGCACCCTGTGCCAGGGCCTGCCCACCCTGCCAGGGAACAATTCCTTCCCAATATCCCATCCATCCCTGCCCTCTGGCACTGGGAAGCCATTCCCTGTGTCCTGGTCCTCCATCCCTTGTCCAGATATTCTGTTTGTTCTTCAGTTTTAATAATGTTTTAGACAAAGATATTATCAAAGGCAATGAATTCCAGCAGGATGCCAGGAATTTCTGAGGAAAGGGAATGTTGTTACTGATTCTGACAGAAGTGACCCTACATTATAACTTTCCAACCCAACAGTACATTTCTGTCTTGATTGTAATAAGAGTTCTGTACAAGGAAACAGAAAAGGACAAGGGGAAACGGCCTCAAGCTGCCTTGGCAGGGGCTGCCCAGGGAGCTTTGGAGTCCCCATGCCTGGAGGTGTCCAGGGAAGGGCTGGACGTGGCACTCAGTGCTCTGGGCTGGGGACAGGGTGGGGATGAGGCACAGCTTGGATTCTGCGATTCTGTGATTCCATGAAAAGCATCTCCTCCTGCAGCAAGAGAAGATGATTAAATGCTAATTATGGAGACAAGTCCTTCACATGTTTGTTCTGCCTGACACCTTGTGCCGAACACCCTTCTGAGAATGGCTGTGGTTTCTTCTTAGCCATTTTCACTCCCGTCATATTTGGTGGGATTTTATATAATCTCCATATCCCAAGTTGGTCCTGTCAGGTTTTCCCTGGGGAAATTATTGTTGCTGAGGTGTCTGTGACAGGTTCTCACCTTGGCTGCCCGTGCAGAGCATGCCAGAAGCAGAGATAAGTAGAGTTTTCCATATCTGCAAACAACAGGAGAGCTTGTTCAGAGGACACCACTCCACAGGCACCGTGTCAGCCAATCTGTATCCCTATTTACTCTGCAGTAATTCTATGTATTCACTCCTCAGGTATGACCTGGCTCTGACATACTTGAATTTTTCAAGATCTTATAGAAAAACTTAAAAGCTTACAATGGGTTTTCAGGGCACACTGAATTTCCACACAAAGAGAGAGATGTTCCTTGGATAAATGTGAATCAGGAGTCTTGAAAAATCAGGAGCTGATGGAAATCTTGTGTCAGAAAAAAAACCCACAACAGCAAAAATACAACCTCAGCAACTGCAGAAATTTTTGTGTTAAACTTTAACTGTGACATTTTAAAGTCACTGATGTCCTTTTCTTGTGGGAGACGTGTCTTCCTCCATGCCCTGGTGCATCCTTGATGGATCAGGCAACACATTCTTGTAGTTCCCTTGCTTTTGCCTAACAGCTCAGCTATTGCTTTGTGATTTTCTGATCATATCAATTAGCCCAATATTTTCTTGTAAGTTTATATGGAACTTTCATGCTTCCAAATCCTCTGCTTTATTTCTCCCTCCTTTTTGTTTTTGGTGCAGAGTTGATGATATTTACGTTTATGCCCTTCTTTATAAAACTTTCTGTGGACTTTGAGCAAACCTTTCTTTGTCCCACGTTGGAAACCTCATGAACCTTTAGCAAGTCTGGTTGTTGTTGTTTTTGTGGATATTGTTGTTATCTCTAAATTCTATGAGCCTTTCTTTCCCCTGCTTGTGGAATCCTGCTGCAGTTTACTTGATTTTATTTCCTGTGGTAAAAGTGTCAGCCCAATATTCCAATTTCCTCCTGCCTGTAAAACCTGGTGCCTTTTGGAGCAGCAGGTGTTGCAGCCCCTGAAATGTTGTGTGATATCAGAGGACTGGATGAAATATCCCACCAGAAATTGTTCAAGTGGTTGTTTCTCTGGGTGGAAATTTATGGAATGCACCCAGTGGAAGGCTGGAATGGAAGTGCTGGAATCATATAACTTAATAAAAGGCTGACAAGGGGATTTTGTGTGAAATATAGGTGGTGATTCTCATGAGCCATTTTAAAACTCGACTGGGGTCATAAATACAAAGAGCTCGACTTAAGGACACAATTTCTGAAGACCTCTCCTAGCACTGCTGAGCTTTTCTCAGGAGTTCAGCATTTCAGAGGTTATGTGGAGCAGCGATTCCTTTTTAAAAGTGCTCTGAAGGTCAAAATCCTATCCTATGGGTTTTGCCTATCAGTACCTCATTTGTGCTGGGGCCAGTGGTGAGCGGCACAAATCAATTACTGCAGCTTTCCAGCTCCGTCTTCCCTTTAGGATTTTGGAACGCTATGTCCAGGACCAGATTCCGGGGGCGACAGTCGTGGTGGAGTCCATTGGAGCACGGAGGTTTGGGGATGGATATTCTGAGGAGGATTACACCAAGTCTGACCTCATGGTCTACGCCATCGACCCACAAACCAACAGAGCCATCATGAGGAACGAACTTTTTAAGTGAGTATTTGCTTTATTGATCTCCCTCTATTTCCATGGATTGTTTGGGAATCTCTTGGTCTGTTAGAGGCTGTTTCAGCACAATGGGAACAGAAAAATCCATTGAAACAGCTGCTGCATGGATATCCGCTATGGATACCTTGGGAATTTACCACTTCCTAGTTCAGTCCAGTGCCTTGGGCTAAATTGTCCCAATCCACGTGATTCAGGCATTGTCCCCACGACAGCTTGTAATAGGTTTTGTCCACCTTGTGAGGAGCTTCCAACTGAAATTCCTCCAAGGAATTTCCTTCCTTATGTACCCAAAATCCTGTGTGATCTTCAGGCTTTGGAGCTGCAGAGTTGACCTTCAGGTTTCACAGTTTCTGTTTGGAGGAAAGGAAAGGGAGAAGGGAGAAGGGAGAAGGGGAAGGTGCGGGAAGGGAAGGTGCGGGAAGGGAAAGGAGAAAGGAAAGGAGAAAGGAAAGGAGAAAGGAAAGGAGAAAGGAAAGAAAGGAAAGGAAAGGGAAAGGAAAGGAAAGGAAAGGAAAGGAAAGGAAAGGAAAGGAAAGGAAAGGAAAGGAAAAGGAAAAGGAAAAGCGGGATTGGGTTGCACCTCATGTGAAACCAACTGGGACATTTCCCAGTGCACACCTCTACACAGGAGATCAGGCTCTTTCAAATGCAAATCAGGTTTCTCTTCTAAAGAAAGAAAAAACCTTTTTTTGTTGTTGCTGTTTTTGTTTTGTTTTTTTTTCACGTGTTCCACCTTGGTGTTGGTTTTTCTCTCGGTGAGAACCCCACCTGGCTCTGCTGTGCTGAGCACATCCTCAGCAGCCTGGCAGGAAAAGGCTGCAGGGAAATGGGGCTGGATTTTCCAGCTTTTTCCTGAGCTCCTGGTGAGCTGTAGGTGAACTGCAGCATTGGAAAGTTCTGCAGATATTCAGATTTTATAGGCTGGGAAAGATCAGTGGGATCAATCTGAGCAAGTTTGGGAGCTCCTCAAATTAATTCTCCTTCGAACATGTCTGTCAGCAAAGCAACTGCGCCGGAAAATCCAATCAATTACAACCTGGGGGTTGTTATTGCAGGTTAATTCCATGTCAAAAATTAGGCCTTTTGTCTTCTTTTTTTAATTTTTCCAGGCTCAGTTTTGTTATAACTTTGGGTGCAAAATTAAAGCATCCATTGGTGCTTTTAATTTCTGTGTTTCACCAAGGTCTAGGCTTACATTCACATCATCCTATGTATTTTTTTTATTCTTGAGATGTTCTGCTCTGGGCTGTTTTAATTCTTCTAACCACCTATACTTTTCTCTGAACTCACTCCAGTTTTCCAGCATAATTTTTCTGAACTAGGTATATAAAAAAAATAATATTTTATATAAATTTTTTATATTAAATACATTTAATAGCAATAACAACTTTCAGAGGGGTAGCAATAGAGCCTCCTTCCTTCTCCTGGCATTTGTTTTTAGGTGTCCCCATGGTCATTCAGTCTTTTCAGGTCTCAATGATGCTCTGGGTGTTTGTGGTCACTTGTCCAGTATTGGTTATTCCAAGAATGGAGTCATTGTGATGTTTTCCCAGTTTTATTCAAGATTCTGACACCCTTTTCCTCCCCCCTTTGAAAAACTCTCAGTAAATTCACTACTATCAGGATATGTAAATCAGCTGTTATCTAAGCAAGGAGGCAGTTGGCTCTTTGAATTCCAGGAAAAATAAACTTTTCCTTTTGCAGACTCTCTTCATGGTCAGAAAAAAAATGTCCCTCTTCCTTTTGGTGCCCTTTGGAAATACTGGAATGTCTTCTCAAGGATGTTCAGATGTCCAGTGAAGTACCCAGGGCAGAATAGAGTTAAGATGGCTTAAAAATCAGAGTTTCTAACAGGAAGGGTAGGGGGAGTCATCTGAGAAACAGCTTCATTAAAATGCCCCCTGTGCCTGCACACTCAGATTTTTAGGGGCTTTTTTTCTTCTCTTCAAAAGCTTTTAAATATTTAAATCATCAAAATCCCAGGGAATGCTTCCCTGGCTTTAGGGTAGAGGTGAGTGACTGTCAGCTCACTGGAGTAAGGAGACAGTTTTGCAGTTGGATTTCCCAAGTTTTCACTGGAAAGTGGGTGACCCTCAGAAGATTTGTGCCAGGGATGTACCCAAAGCTAAGATTTTGACCTCCTAAAAAGATAAAGGTCCCTTCTGGGAGCTGGATTTCAGAGGGGATGGCTCAGGGTTCCTCCTGCCACGGTCAGAGGACACTTTAGCAGTGGTTGTCCCCTCACTGGGAAGCCGTGAGTCCCAGCCACCCTTCTGCCAGCCAAGAGTCTGCTCTGGATCTGACAGAAAAGGGATCAGTGGGAGAAGGGACCATTTCATAAACTGCATATAATGGGAGAAAGGTGAATAAGTCTGAAAGAAACAGAACATCCAGTTTTAAACATTTAATTACTAATAAGGAAGATAAATTCACACAGGTGATTTTCCAAGTATTCAACAATTCCATGATGTATCCAGGACCAACAGCACAGAATTAGTGACTTCTGCCCAGCTGGGGTTTTCACACAGCTCACCAAACGATTGTGTATTGGAAGATACCTGTGGCTTTTCCAGAACGGGTTTTTTGGGAACACCTGCTGTGTTCCTGCTTCTAAAGCAGAGTGGAAGCTCTGATTTAATGGAATTTCTTGTGAACCTGTCACTGTTTAAAAATAATTGTGAAGGTCAAATGCAAGGGGAATTGAGGATGAGGTGGAATAGCAGATGGAGAACTGCAGGGATACAGGCAGAAGTCAGGGATCCAAACCCAAAGCAGCTGGAGTTGGGAGAAGAGGGTGCACAAAGCAGGTCACCAAGCTGAACAGAGTCACAGTTGTCACCATGAACCAAAGCATGAGGCTCTCGTAATCCATAATATTAATCCCACAATAAATCCAGGAAAATGTTTTGCTGGAAAACAAAGGCATTATTTAGAAGTTGTGGATGTAGCAGCCAGTGCCAGGGGGTAAAACACGTGTCTGTCAAGTCATGCAGAATTTTCCCTGTCCTGTACTTTGTAAAACTGATACACAACTAGAGTGTTATTAAAGGACATGGAATGATTCACACAAACATGTCTTACTGGGTGGCAGAAAAAAGAGAGTTTTATTTGCTTGACTCCGGTATTTATAGATTCTCGACAATGACCAGGGATTGGATAATTAAGTTACCACTTTTCTAATCACACTGGTCATGTAAAACGTCCATCAAAAGAATTTTCTTAGAAGGAATGTATCCACATCTATGTTTATAGTTACTTTCCTGGGAAAGTGTCTAAAACTATGAAAAAAAAAATCAGAAGGCTTTTCAGGGTGACACTAGAGATCCGTATTCTTCCTTCAGACTGTTATGATTGATTACCTGAAGTTTTTATTAATCAGGGATCTCATAAAACAGAGTAATTTAGGTTGGAAAGAACCTCTGACCTCATCAGGTCCAACCCTTAATGCAGCACTTCCAAGCCCACCACTAAACCATGTCTTCACATATATACAGTTTATCAACATCTCCAGGCATGGGGACTCCAAAGCTCCCTGGGCAGCCCCTGCCAAGGCCTGAGCTCCCTTGCCATGGAGAAATTCCTCCTGGTGTCCAAGCTGAGCCTCCCCTGGCACAGCTTGAGGCCGTTTCCCCTTGTCCTGTCCCTGTTCCCTGGCAGCACAGCCCAACCCCCCCTGGCTGTCCCCTCCTGTCAGGGAGTTGTGCAGAGCCAGAAGGTTCCCCTGAGCCTCCTTTGCTCCAGGCTGAGCCCCTTTCCCAGCTCCCTCAGCCCCTCCTCATCTGATTTTTGCTCCAAATCTGTTTGATTACACCCCAAAAATGGGCCTGAATAGTACCTGTACTTCACTATGCCCTGCCTTTCCACAAACCCCTAAAAGACTCTGAGGGCACTCAGATAATTTCCCAGACTGAAACGTTCAGCCTCCTTTCCTATCTTTTAAAGGGAAGAGGCTTTGATTTATTGGAGCATAAAAACCAGTTGAATCCAACAAATTCCTCCTGCATAAATTAAGTGGAAAATGTCCCCTGTTAAAAAGAAACTGTGTGAAGCTCCTGCACAACGTGTCAGGTTCCATCACGGAGTAAACGCTCACGGCTGAGTTACGAACCTGTTAAAAAGGGAAAATGCCAGAGGAATTTCAACCAGGAGAGATGGTTAAAATCATCCAGGGATTTAATGCCATCCTGCTGAGAAGGCTTTTGCCAGCTCAAAGAATGAGGGACATGCACCAGTGACATCTAGTGAGCAGCAAGAGAATGTTTATGTCCTCTTTATGCTATCATTTAGCTTGGAAAAGGGATTTTTTCTCAAGTACCAAGGAAATGGCTTATGAAAGGCATCAGAAATGGGAATTATTCTTCCAGACACCTTTGTGAGGGTGGGGGTGAGCAGCCTCTTTGCCCTCAGTATTGTGAAACCAGCCCAAATTCATGATTCAGGATGAGCTGTTCTGCTTGTGCTGAGATACAGTTCATCCGTTACACACCCAGAGCAGAATGGATTCTCCCCAGAATTCCAAAATGAAAAAGAGGGACAAGAAATGCTACGAAGATTTATCAGGAAATTAATCTGAGGGGAAGTCAATTGGAAGAAATTACTGCCCTTGCAGAAATGGTCTTTGAGGAGTGGAATTTCTGTCTCATGATCAGAGTAAGGAAATCAAAGCTATATTCAGAGTTTATACACAAAAATACTTACAGAAGTTTTTTGTTGTTCTTTATTTGAAATTTTCTGGAGGATTTTTTCCCCTTGTCTTTCTCCAGGAGAACCAATGTACATGTAAAGATATGGAATTTTGCTATGGCTCTCACCTTTTAGGACCCTCCATCCAAACACATTTCTTACTTTGGTCTTTGGAGCTGGGCAGCTTGTGAGACACTCAGTCCTCATGTCTGGAGTGATCCAAGGATTTTTGTTTTACTTGAGAAGTTAGAGCCTTGGACAATGTATTTTTTGTCCAGCCAGCCAAAGAATTTCCCTAAGGAGCTGAGCAAATCCTCTGAAAATTGCCTGATTTTAGGGTAACAGCAACCATAGAACCATTAAGGGTGGAAAAGACATCTGAGGTCATTAAATTCAACATTCCCCAGCACTGCCAAGGCCACCACAACCTCATGTCCCCAAGTGCCACATCCATGGGTTTTTTAACACTTCCAGGGATGGTGACGCCACCTCTGCCTTGGGCAAGACCAAGGTGATCTTTTGGGCAGAGTGGTCCTCAGGAATGTGTCCAGGAATGGTTGGTTGATTATTGGGATCAAAGCAGAGAAGGAAAAGCACAAAGCAAGGCCTTTGTGATGCCAGTGAGAACTTTGAGCCCCTGAAAATCAGGATAAGCTCAGCTCAGCCCTTCATTTCAGTGTTTAAACTGTGTCCTGGTGTTAAGTACATTGGAATTGCCCCTGGCACCGGGATTACAGGGAATTGCCACCATTCCAAAACCCACAGAGACAATATAGGTGCTTCACTGGGCTATTAACCCGCTGTAATTAAAACTCTCTTCATGAACTTGGCCCTAATAGTGGGATGTTTTTGTCCCATTGAAGGTTCCTGGATGGCAAACTGCTGGATATCAACAAGGAGTTCCAGCCCTACCTGGGCCAGGGTGGGCGAATCCTGGAGATCCGCACACCAGACGTGGTGGCCAACGTAAAGAAGCAGGCGCAGGCCGTGGGCTACACAGAGGGAGCACTGCTAGCCCTGGCTGTCATCATCATCCTGTGCTGCATGCCAGCCATCCTCATCGTCATGGTCAGCTACCGGCAGTGAGTACCCTTCTTCTCCTCCCCTCCCATGTCATAGTAGAGCTGCTGCATTTCACAGCAGAGCTGCTTCGATGATTATTCAACATCTTGATATTAATTTCTATTTATTATTTCCTATTTCTATAATATTTTGTATCTATTATCTATATTATGTCAATTCATTTCTGGGTTTATTCCCCTACTCACCACAAGGGTTGCCCAATGTTTGGTGTGATGAACACGGGGGCTTCCTAACGTGGTGCAGGATTTTTGTGCCAAAAATGCAAAATTTTGTGCTCAAAATGCAGGTGTCAAACACAGAAGTGACAATTCAGAGCTGAATTCCATAAATAAAAAAAAACAAAAAAATGATTGAGGAAAAGGTGCTTTTTTCAAGCAATGAATCAAAAATCAAATTAGAGGATGGTTGTTTTTTTCTTAAATCCTAAACTATTTTTTCCTGAGCTTCTTAATTGCAAATGTTTCCTGCAGAGATGGTTTTCTGCCATTTTAGGGCAACATCTGAAATATTTTTTGATATTTCCTCTTGCCTCTTATACACTGAAAAGATTCCAGTAATTGGCTGATAAATTAATTCAAATCTACATCTGCAACAAGTTCCTCTCAACTAAAATTTTCAGGTCTACTCATATATAAAATCAGTGCATTTGGACTTAAAGGCTCCATACCTATTCATTTATTTATATATATATATATATATATATATATATATATATTCATAGATTTATTCTATAACTAAATGTTATATTCATAAATTTACCTATACATTATAGCCCGGTTCATAGATTTATAAATCAAATTATTCACTAATTTATTCTTTAACTAATGATTATATTCACATCCCCTTTTCTCTATTTTGGGTGAAGAGAAAAAACCTTTTAAAGAACTTCTTTTAAAGAAGTTTGGAAGAGCTAGACCAACTTGTGCAGCATTGAGATGGCAGGTCATTCCCAAACTGCTCTTCCTCTCTCAGAATTCTATGGAAAATCTGCTTCCATGAGCCAGTTCATCTTGGAATTGGTTGGTGGCTGTTATCTGAATTACAGATTGCTGAAAGAAATGAAACAGGCTCATTTTTCCTTGGCATCTGTTAGATTATCTGAACATCATCAATCTCTTTTAGGAGCTCTCAGTAATCTGTTTAAATTCATTTCATCCAAAAATCCCATTTTTCCCATCTAGAAATCTGACTTGGAGTGGGATTTATAGCAGCCCATTCTGAATAAATTGTGTTTTTATGGAGAGTGCCAAAGAAAATGAAAGGAATTTTAGAGTTAATTTAAAATCCTGAGCCTTATGGTTTGTTTTTGCATTCCAGCCTTTTTCACTCCTTTTCCAAAGGAATCTCAGTATTTTTCCTGAAATATTTCTTTAGTAATAAATCTAAAAATGACTCCTTTGAAATCTGGTATCCAGCACAAACTTGTAAGGTACTTATACATTATTTATTGTTTACTAATCACAAAAGAATGGCATCTTCTAAATAATAACAAAAAATAATGCTTCTTCATTACAAAAAGTATTTTATATATATTTTTGAAATAAGGTAAAATGGGGAGTTATAAATAAAATAACAATTATATTATTTATATTGTTATATAAAAATAATTCATTATAAAGAAATACATCTAAAAATGTGCCTGCTTAAAAAAAAAACCAGGAAAAATATTCATGTTTTCATGTCTTGCTTTTATTCCCTGCTGTAATTCGTATTTCTGCTGACTACAGAATTGTTTCCAGGGGATCAAAAACAGCGGCCAAATGCTGTTCAGCTCTGGAAGTTCTGATCCTTTAAACAAGTCATTAATTCTGGAATTTGATGTGTGGAATAATTAAGTAGCCTGTAGTTTATTACTGCTGTTAGAGTCGCTGTTATGGGCAGTTGTTGGAAGTAGAATTTATTTAACCTTCCTTTTTATCTCTTTTTTTGCAACCAAACAGATTCAAAGAGTAAGTATTTATTTCCAGCTTTGTTTCTTCCAGCTTCCACAGGAATACTGACAAATTTTGTTAACAAAACTTATTAAATGTAAGGGGTTGGTTGTTTTTTAATTTCTGTACTCAACTTGCTCCTGAACTCCTGGTGTGAGGAGTTTAAAAGTGATTTATTTATATGGCTACTCAGTGTCAGTGGGGTTTAATACCCACATCACCCTGGTGGTGCTCCCCACATGAGTAGCTTTGTTTTCTAGACAGAGAACAGAAATTTATTCTTCAGTGATTTTACTCCATATTAAGAAAAAAAGAAAAAATAATGTTTTTCAGGAAAAACTATTAATTGAACAGGAATTTCCCAGCGTTTTTCCACTAAGAAAAATGAGTTGTGAGTGGTTAAGGGGGAGTGGCGTCAAACTGAAAGAAGTAGGTTTAGATGGGATATTGGGAAGGAATTGTTCCCTGGGAGGGTGGGCAGGCCCTGGCACAGGGTGCCCAGAGCAGCTGTGGCTGCCCCTGGATCCCTGGAAGTGCCCAAGGCCAGGTTGGACTTTGGGGCTTGGAGCAGCCTGGGACAGTGGAAGGTGTCCCTGCCCTTGGAAGGGCGTGGCACTGGATGGGCTTTTTAATGTCCTTTCCAACACAGACCATTCTGGAATCTGAGAAACTGTGTGATTCCACCCAATCAGAACAACCAGGATCTGGAAAATCCAGGAAAAAATGATCATGTTACTACTTTGATGAAGACAAAATCTAGGGGTGTTTGTTAACCACAGAGCAAGAACATAGAAAACCTCACATTTTGGCCGTGTTTTGGGGTGTTCCTGATGAGTGTTTCTTCTTCTTCCCATGGCCTTCCAAAGGCGGCAGGCTGAGTGTGCCAAGACTGCGAGGATCCAGATGGCTCTTCCAGCAGGAAAACCAACGGGAGCCGTGGCAAACAACCTCTATGAGGAGCTTGGAGACAGCACCATGTGAGTATTCCTTGAGATCATCCTGAAAATCACTGCCCTGGGCAACCTGGGTTAGTGGGAGGAGTCCCTGCTCATGACAGAGGGTGGAATGAGATGGGTTTTAAGGTCCCTCCCAATCCAAACTATTCTAGGATTCCGGGATCCTATGAAATAGTTTCATGCAGTCTCTGTGCACAAGGTTTTCCTCATTCCTCAGCTGCTTGGGGTTCTCCAACATCCAGAAAAGAAACAGGCTGGGTCTGGAAGGTGGGAAAAAAACAATTTAATCTTCTTGTAATGCATGGGGGAACCTATAAGAGACTTTAAGTGGGAAAAAAGGTCTCACTAGATGGTTTTCCTAAGAACAAGGTCCTACAGCAGGTCACTGCTGCCAGGATTGGATTCCTTGACACATCCAGGCCATCATTCCACATTTTCCAAAGTTGTTGACTAAACACATCCAATAAAATCCATTCTTATCCATTGCACACATCTGAAATGATCATTCCCTGAAAATTGCCGCCCTAAAGTCCCCATTTCCTATAGTAAGAAGCGCTCAGTTTGTTGGGGCTTTTTTTTTGTTCTAAGTTTAAACCTGTTCAAATATTGAAATTAAAGGAACTGTCAAAGCACAGAAACCACTGGTAGCTCAATAAACGCATCTTTTACCTCTTACATGCTCATAAAATAATAATCTTGCAAGGCTGCCTTTCTTTTCATGCCTCTGTAAACCTGAAGTTGATGGACTCCAATAGCAATTTAACCCTCAGTAGGAAAATACTCCAGACAGTTATTATTTGTCTGATACTGGGGAGGTTGTTGATAAGCTTTGCCACACTTCCTCATCTCTATTTATATTTGAAAACCAAGGAGTGCTGAAGAGCCCAGCTTGAATAACATTTGGAGTAGGTAGGGAGTGAGTGGATGGTGGAAACAAGGATTGCTCTGTTTTCAGTTGTGATTTGTTTTGCCCGGAAAGTTGAAATTTTCCAGCTGCTGTGATGGAGTTTATAAAATGTTACAGGGCCATGACAGAGCTTTAACTCTTGGACAACTGGCTGCAGTCTCTGAATGCGGAATAATTCCAGGGCTTGAGCTTTTATGGGTAAATAGGGGGCTAAAAAATGCTGGGAGCAGGAATAGTTTCTCCTCAGAGCTGAATTTCTGCCTTTTGCCTTTGTCAAGTTATGCTTGGGCAGAAAAGGAAGTAAAACATGTGAAATAAAGTTTTTTTGAATAGGAGTACTTCTCTTTGTGAGTCACATCTGCACCCTTATGCAGGGAGGTGCCAGCTGGATAAAATTCACTTTTTTTGCACTAAACCAAATTTCTGCTGAAATTAATTATGTGATGCTAAACCCAGAAAAAGCCTTGTTGTGCTGTGTTTTATCTGCAAAGGTTTTTTGGGCTTTAGTACTGCCCCAAAGAGGTGCCAGTTCTCAGATCTGCAGTATTGACTTTGAGGCTTAGGTTTATGTTAATTTGGACAAAAAATAGTCTTCATTGCACCAAAAAAGGTGCTGTAGTTGGAATATTTTCTCTCAGATGTCTTTGCATACAACCAAGACTTATCCGTCATGCTGAGGAACTGATTAAACACAGAAATCCTTCAAAGATAAATCAAAATCCATAGGATTTGCAAGGAAATAACAGGCTTCAGTAAATAAAATTACAAATTAACTTTTTCTTCCCCATTAAATATTTTACTGCAGGTATACCTTAGGAAATTCTTACTTGGGAAAAATCTTTTATTGACATTTTTCATGAGTTTTAGTATATTTTTCCCTGTTTTAGTTGTCCTAAGTCTGTCACCTTTCATTTGCAGTGTCTTGTTTGCTTTCTTTGGTGTTTGTAGCAAATGAAATGGAACAAAGCTCTTTAGTTTTAAATCTGCCTTGTCTCACCATTTTCATTTTTCCCTGTCTTTGGATCCTTAGGCATCAGTAAGTAAGCTTATTTCATTGTCTTAGTATTTGTAGCTGGTAGAAATTAGTTAATTTTCCTTCCAGAAATTCCCATCCAGCCTTGCAAGGTGAAGTTCATATTTTATTTGTCCATTGAGCAGGAAAGACATTTACTGGGAAGTTCCAATACTTCTGTGCTTCTTTATCCCTCTTCTTCGAAGTAGAGAGGGGAAGGGTGATTGCTGAACTTGAAAAGCATTATTTCTAAATCCAAAGGGTCAAAAAAATCCAAACCAACACTGAACATGAACAGAGGATTGCTGTGAGTTCATGGATTTATGGCTGGGTTGAAACCTTCCTTGGCTGTCAATTCCAATCCCATGCAAGGCCTGTAGAGTCTTTGAGTTCACAGAAACTGAACTCTCTGGCCCTCAGTGATCGAAACAGCTCCACACAAACAGAAAAACATGGTGGGGTCACCTCAGCTCTCAGAGGCCTCATGTAGAGGGAGGAAGAGGCTGAGGAGCTTTTGAAATAATCTGCTCCAGTGGCAGAAAGGTGGTGGCACCTTCTGCTGGAGGGTCTCCTTCAAGTTCAGTCACTGCTTCTCTCACCCCTCAGTAGATGAAGTGCTTGGCTGACCTCAAATTTGGCTTGTTCAGAAATCAGAGTTCCTTTATAGCTCAGGGGCCCAGCACAGGAAGGACCTGGAGCTGCTGGAGAGAGGCCAGGGGAGGCACCAGGATGATCAGAGGGATGGAGCAGCTCTGCTGGGAGGAAAGGCTGGGACAGCTGGGATTGTTCAGCCTGGAGAGGAGAAGCTTTGTAGAGAAGCAGTTCCAAGGGATGGAGGGGCAGGACACAGGGAATGGCTTCCCAGTGCCAGAGGGCAGGGATAGATGGGATATTGGGCAGGAATTCCTCCCTGGGAGGGTGGGCAGGCCCTGGCACAGGGTGCCCAGAGCAGCTCTGGCTGCCCCTGGATCCCTGGAAG